GTCGTGTATGGCCTGGAATAGCTCTTGTTCCAAGTAGGGTTTGTTGTGGACATTTGGACATACAAACGTGTATATGCTGTACAGACATTCAGTGGATTAGTGCGCTATGCACAATGCTGTTCTGTTTTGTTTAAAAAAAAATATCAGAAAGATGTGACATCCAGCATGTTACAAAATGCGCTTATCCAAACAGGCTGAACACTAGACTTCACCCTCTTACCCCCACAACACTGCAGCCTTCTTGAGCAACAATTCCTGTCTGTCCACTCCCAAGGTGCCCTTCTGTCTACTCCCAAGGTGCCCTTCTGTCCTCTCTATAATTTTCTTTGCTTTGCTTTGTCCTTTGTCAGTGTAATTTTCTGACTGAATTTCTTTGTATTGTTAAAAAAAAAGTCTTGTAAATAATGCCTTCAGACAATATCTCTCCCCATCTTCAATGACTAGTTCGAGGTAGAACTGTAAATCCTTTGGGAGAGAAAGTTATTTTGGAAATGGATGACTGCATTTTGCGAACCATTTTGTCACTGTGACAGAACACAAATATGCAGATGATAATAAGAACCTCTAAACAAGAAAGTTCTTTTGTGCAGTGCTATAGCAAGTACAGTAGTTTGACCCGTAAGAGTACATCAAGACATGATTGCTGTACAATGCCATCCAGTGTTGATGCTTGTTCAGAGGAAACCTGTTACAAAACAAATTGAACTCTGCAGTTTCTGTAACCTGAAATGGATGTGAAAAGATATAAATTAAGATTAACCCCTCCTCTGCTCATCACGAACTCAAGCTTTATTTGGTTAAATATGAGGAACACCCTTCGAAAACTGTTCAGAGAGATAGTTGTTCATATAATTATGAAGTATTTGCTGTCTCTTCCAAGGTAATTACAGGATACTGTTGAAGACTAATGCACATCATTGTATGGTTCTGCTTGGAGGCAAATTGTTTACTATGGTAATGGCTAAAGATGGGATGAAACATTGCGTGCTGATGAAAATATTGACAATCAGTAACCATGGCTAACATGCATCAGCACAAAGGATAACTCGAGTCTCAACGGTCTGATTAAAAAACCTCTGAAGTGGAGAGAAGTGTTGTCTCTGGGACACTTCACAGAACCTAAATTAGTCTGTTGCTCTGAACTGCCCCCAGAGAAATCTCTCTCCTTCTGTTTCCACTGCTGGAGGGTCTAGGGAAAATCCTAAAGATTGTCACGAAAGAGAAGTCCTTTAATACCCGCTTCCTCCAACCCTTTGAAAAATGAATCACTTTCTTACTCTACAGCTTTCTAGACCAAATGAATCCATTCAAAACTACGAGGAAACTGAACAGTTTACATGTAGTACAGCAGTTATCTAGTTCAGGTGCTTAAGTCACTATCCAGTTCTGTCTAGGACTTGTGTAAATAACAAAGTGAAGCGTTTTGCATATGAAAATATGCAATATATGGCTCGGTAAACTAGTTTTTCACTTTCTATTCCCTTTACCATGTTTCTTCATAAATGTGGTCCAAATTTGCAACATTTGCATCTCAGTAGCTTTGACAGGCAAGAGCATTCAGCTTTTCTCTGACATTTGGATTCTTGCTTTTACCAGAGTAATGCTCTTCACCTTATTTACCCCTTTCCTCTTTGCTCTTTTTTCCATTCCTTGACTTGGCTTGGTCAGCCAGCGGTGCTGTGCTTCAGAGGCTTCCACCTTCCTCTGTTCCACCCTAGCAGTATCTTCCGTGGGACTGTTTTGTCTTTAACTTGTAGCATGTGCATTACCAGTGAGAATGAATTATAGCACTTGCATCAGTACATGGTGAACAATCAGCAATTTTGCGACTCTGCCATCTCCCCAAGAAAAAAAAGCTACCAGATCTTTTAAAAAGTGTACAGTATGTATCTGTGGTTGATTCTGCAATCAGAGCAATCCGTAGCAGTGTTTATCCCCCAGCAAGAAGATAACAACTTGTACAAACCAGGAAACAGGGAGCCCAAACAAAATGTGAGCCCTTGCTGTTCCCATCCTGCTGAGCACTAGATGATTGTATTTACCATCACAGTACAGTGGGCTTAGCCCTTACCAGGTCAGTGTTGCCACACCACAAACCACTTCTTGCTCTTCAACCAGTGCCTGATGTTACCGCCTCTCCGCAGCACGGCTTTGCCAAGCTCTGTCAGAGAACTACCAAGGAAGCATAGCAGTAGCTGAAAACGTTCTAGTGGTTAATATGCATTTAATGTGAGCTGCTAATTACATCATTTGGGTTGTTCAGTGTTATAGCTTGTGTAGGAGTAAATGGAGCCTGCAAAGTGGTGATTTCAATACAAGCAATAACCAGAGTAAAATACATATTTCTTTGTTTTCAAATCTTTTTCACAGGATGTTCACTGTTCAAGTAGACGAAGACAAAGGCCAGACTCAGAGATTGCCAACAGACCAGCCCATCTCTGTTAAGAAACTCTTTGTGGGGGGTACTTCTTCTCAGTTTCAGACTGCACCTCTCAGAAACATACCACCATTTGAGGGCTGTATATGGAATCTTGTCATCAATGCCATGTAAGTCTCACTGATACCAACAAATGTCTAGGTAATGAGATCTGGTTAACTACCTTGGCTGCCAAAACAAACTTCATTGTTGCAAGGAATCATACTAACAGCAAATCCTACAATATGATCTGTATTTTTAATATACCCTTCCTTCTTTTGTCTGCAATATACGCTCCATAGGCTATGCAATTAATGAACTGTTTTACAGACAAGCCAACACCTGTCTATTTATGCATAAAAATCAGAGAAATTCAACAGTAACGCTGCAGTAAGACTTGCCTCAGTGATAAGTATTTATGTACTATAACACTTAATTTTAAGTAAGGTTGATCTCCAAGAGTATACAGATTCTGAGAACCACCATGGCAATTAATTTGCTTTGTGGAAAGTGCATGCTGCAGTAATCTGGAAGGAACATTTAAGTAAAAAGCAAGGGAATGGTGAATAAAGAAAAACCTCTATAGAAAGTTCCCATCTAAGTCTTTCTTTCACACAACTGAAGTACCTAAATTAGGATCTCATCACTGCACACTCCATCAAAGTACATCAGAGAGAAGGGTTTCTCTGCAAAGTGACTCAGCGTACCTAGGCTGATAAGCTTGCCAAGGAGGATGCCTGTCTCTCTGCACTGACTGTAGGAAGGAAAGCCAACGGTGACTTTCACCTGTAATTTAAATGTCCCGCTTCCATACTTAAAACAGATGGGATGAATCCCTGCTCTTGCGTCCTGTGAGGTGGAATTACACTGCAGCATATAGCTATTCTTTATAAATGGGTGGTTAAAAGGCAGAAAAACTAGTAACAGACATCAATTTCTTTGTGTGTTCTCAGCCCCATGGACTTTGCTCAACCCGTATCCTTTGAAAATGCAGATATTGGCCAATGTCCTTCTCTAGAACCAGAAGTTAGGCCACCTGAGGATGAAGATAAACCAATCCACACAACAGTCCTCATCCAACCTGAACCAGACACTAATGGGGAGAAAGAAAGACCAAGGACTCCTCCTGCTTCCCCTCCTCCTCCAACACCATCTCTATCTTCAGCACTTGTAAGTGTAGATCACTTCACTCAGGTGAAGTTTGAAAAGTTTCTTTTTCCAGGCTAAATTGAAAAGCTAGCCATCAAGAATAATGAAGTAATTTGCCACAAAAATAGTAACAATTCAGTATGATATTGTAAAGGGAACACCTTGTTGCAGGTCACCAAAACCTGTGGATAATGGAAAACTGGTTGATGTCATTTGCTTAGATTATCACAACAGTAATTTAAAGAAAGTTATAGCAGTCGAATTCCCTTTGGCTTGCATGCTTAGCCCTAAGCCCTTGCACTTCAGAATGTAAGCCAAGCGATATCTGATCAGGGTTGGTCCTATGGGAAATCCATGTCATTATGATATTTCTCATGCTGTTCTCTGAAGCACATGATAACAGCAATGTCAGTGACAGGATGAAGAAACCAGACAGATCTGTTTGATATGGCAATTCCTCCACTGCTATTTTATAACTTTAGTCAGGAGATTTACTAACTTAAGAACTGAAATCCCAGTCACTCTTAAATTGAGCTCAATCTGTTGCCAGAAATCTTGACTAGCTAGATAGCGACAAGCAGTCTTATACAATAAAATTTAAGAAGAAACTTATTCTGTCATAAGTATAGCAATTTTACAGGTTGATGCAACATTTTACTTTCCAGAAAATATATGTTTAGATATCTGAATATTAAACTGTACAATATATCCACTGGAAGATATTCTTGGGGGGAAAAATCCTTTGCATTTTGTTAAAGCTGCATACAACCCACAAGTTTATGCAGGCTATAGTTCAGTATGGGTGAGGTGTCCAAACGGTGTGAAAAGACTGCACATTTCCCAGTTAGGAGCTTATTTACACTACCAGAATTTACACTACCATAATAAGACAGTTTTGAAAAGTTAACAACTGGAATATTTAACTTCCCTTTTTATATATATCAAATACTAAAAAGTCATTAATTTTCTCCCAGACAGTTTATCCCAGATTGGCTTCATAAGATCTTTGAACCATTTTGGGAGGTGCTCCCACACTAGGTCAGGCTTAATATTCATTCTCATTTCACTCCTCACTGACACAACATTACAGAACACTGAGTTTGTTTGTACTGCATTTTTCTGTGTCACCCAGAGATTAAAATTATCAATTAATTGCATGAAGACCAGGAAAAAAAAAAAAAAGTTGTGATTTTCAGCAAGTCAGTTGGCTGTAGGTCTGTCAGTTAGAGACAAAGGAACCTGAATTCATTGTTGCAATCACTCCCTGTTATCATCTGACTCATTTTTAGAATTCATGTCTGGTTTTCCTTGTGCGTGGGTATGATTTCTAACAACGTTTTCCTACAAAAAAAAAGGATACAAAAATTAGGCCAGAACCCCTGACTCGTTAAGGTTAATTTTATATTTGAGCTCCATGGCCACCTTCATTGGCCAGGTCCATATGGCACAGCTTTACCTGGAAGGACTCGTCAGGCACTACTGAAGCCTGCACAGCCATACAGCCGTCCGTGTACCTGGCAATGGGAGCCTGGTGTGCAAGATGGGCAAGCTCCAACTTAGTTACTACCCTGCCCAGAGCCCCAGAGTTATATTTATATCAGCCGTTTAATGCTCTAGGGCAGCATTTTTGATTCAGTCCCACAAGGTGGAGTCGTTGTAACACGAGGGCTCCGATGCATCTTTCTGTTTGGAGTTGTAAGTAAGTAAATGTGCAGTATAATAAGGCTACCGGCCATAGAAAGATAAGGAACCGGGCAACAACAAGGTAAAAAGGGTTATCCAGTTTAATGCTCACTGTTGTGAAAGAGTGCAGCCATATTATCCCTCAGGCATTATAAACAAAATTAAAAAACCACAGAAGCGCATGAGAGAGCAAGTGCACACTTTCTAAGACACTAAACGCTAATCTTTAAATAGCAAAAATTGAGAAGAATGGATCTACTCATTAATACCAGAAACTAGTCCCATTGTAACTAGGTGAGTTTTGTGTATCACACATCTAGAGCTGTGAGAACTTGAAACAGGAGTTCAAAATAAAAATCTAAATAAAACACCACTCCACTTTCTCTCTTGGAAAAAATGAAATCATTTTAATAGTCTGAAGACTTGAAAGTATTTTAAATAAGGGAAGCTTTTAGATAGTTTTTACATTCATCTAAGTAAGTTCTCCAAAGTATTTTTCTCGGGAATGTTGCAACAAAGTAAGTAACTGCAGTCTAATAATGAGCTATCACTCATATGACAGTTAATTATACAGAAGCTCAGTGTAGAAGGACTGTTATATGGAAAATGTACAGCAGAAAAAAATTATTTCCACATAGTAGGCTTAAATAAGGTATCTATTCTACTTAAGTCCTTTTAGGACCTTTTTTACCTCTATTACCTGTCTGCATGTAAAGGGGAGGGGAGTTTAATCCCAAATGAAAAAAAACGTACCCTCTATGAAAGGCAAGACAAGATCTTGAAGTAGGACAGCTGGGAAATACAGTGGTCACCCGTCTGCTGCTGCTGCTTGCTACGGATGCCAAGATGTTTCTCAACATTGGGTAACTGCTGCTTCTGCCTCATGTTATTCACTGCTTCTCAGGATTCGCTTGCCACTGAATTGAAGAGCGCCAGCATTACTTCTGCATTTGACTCCATGACGGTATCTTCCACTATTTCTCCATGCATTACTTCATCGTTTTATTAACACTATTCAATGAACTGTGAGGACTGCTTCAGTAGTACTCCCTTTTCCCCCTAATTACTTTCTTTGTAATTGCTAATACAGCGTTGTTTGTAGAGAATGTGTGACAGTCCACCAGTGGGCTTTTCTCTTCATTTCCACTGCGATGCACACTTCGCTTCTTGACTTACCAGTCAAGGCCCTGACATCTGACAAGACTGAAGTAAAGTGCAGCTGAAGAGTTCAGTCTTGAGGCTCGCAGGTAATACGGGAGATTATTAAGCAGCCAGGTTTAAACCCAGGACACCTTAGGGCCATTACTGAAAAAACAAAGCTGGGATATTTTAATATAGGCTAGTGATCCATGCTTAGTTCACAGTCTCACGAAGGCTGTAAAGCTGGCTGTCCTTAGATAAAGTGAAAGCAGACACAGGCTTGTGAATAAAACCTGGAATTTTTTTAAGCATGCGCTACTGTTGTTTTTTCTTTTTACTGATATTTCCATGTCAACCTAATGAACATTCACTATTATAGAGCAATATTTAGGAGTAAATAATCGGTGTATGCTTGCCATGACTCCAACCATCATGGTGCGTTTGGCGCTCTCCCCCACTCCTTGCCCTTCCCTACAGTCTTCCCGCTGGGATGGAGAAAAACTGCAGTTTTTGCTGATGCTGGGGAGCAGCTAAAGGGTCAGGGCCAGACCCTTTACTAACATATACCAGCCTAGGATTGAATTTACTGTCAGAATACATCCTTTTACTGTGTAATATGTAAAAGTGTGCAACAGCAAAGTGTGCGTTAGTGTATTTTCCAATTCTTTCCTGTTGTTCCAGTACCAGTAGTTAGTCTCTATCCTCAAATTTTAGCAAGCCCAAATGCTATTGAAAATATTATCTACACAGTATTATTATTAGCATAGTTTTTATACTTCTAGATAAACCTGTAAAGCTTAAAATAATGAGAAACTTTACCCAGCATTATGGGAATATGATTTTTTTTTCTATTTGATTATCACTGGAAGACTGCTGTCACACATTCATA